TAACAGCGTAATAAAACTACTTGGAAATTTCCTCGGAATTATTGCAAAAAAAAGACATAGTTTCGTTAACGTTATTTTTTCTTTTCTGTATGTTGTCACTTGTCCGATAGAACGAATCAATTTTTTTTTCTTTCTCGTTGTGATGGACTCATTTTTTCTTCGATAAAGAAAAACCTAGAATATAATCAAAAACGACTGTCAAACAGCTGCAAGCGTGCGCAATAACGTAAGACGCATATTACTACGATATATAAAAAAGGCTTTATTTATAGAGTGTGAGTGTGGGTGTGGATGTGGATTTAAGTGTGGGTGTTATGGTTCACGCTCATAAGGAGCGATGAACACAGTTAAAGACGTGAGAGTTTTCTTCTCTCTCTGTTTATTCTTTGACAAAACGAGTATTATATACGAATATGAAAACAAGCACAAAAATAGAAAAGAATATAAAGGCTAATCAAGGTCAAAGAGTATAATGGTTAATCAAGGTCAAAGAAAAAACCTAATAGAAAAGAAATAATTATATCGAAGATATCAGACGAATAAAATAATGATTAAAGAAAAGAGAATAAAGAGGATCGAAGTATATATGTTATAAAAATGCACCGTAACACTGGATGTGTGAGAATGGTGTTAAGATTAAACTTGACTTTTGATTTCTTCGTTTAATCTCTTTTTTTGCAAAACAAAGCACGCTAATACATACACAAAAGATAAAAACTAAAATTCGCGTTTCATAGATAATGAAAAAAATAAAGAGAAGAGAGAAAGAGCACAAAGAGAAGTGAAAAAAAAATAAAGAAAAGAGAAAGATGAAAAAAGAGACGAAAACACAACGAAGATATTTAATAGAAATAATATGATCTCATGTTATCAACACGGATCATAACAGATAGGTGCGGATGTGGATGTGCGTGTGGGTTTAGTACAAGTGTGGCTGAGAAGAACATCTATCTCCAAACTCACACCCACAAATGTTGGGGATCAGGGCCATTTCTCAATTCGGACCGCTGATCAGGAGGATACATATTTTATGTTCATCGAAATCAGAGATATGACTTCAAATTCGTAATCAGCATAGAAAACTGAATATAAAAATGTTGTTTCATTGAATGCAAAGTTAATCAAGTAAAAATTATTTCAAGAGATAGAGTATATCTCCTAGTATATACTTATCGATATATCTATAAGCTTGTCTTTCTCTCATGAGAAACTGTGGAACTAAATTTTATGTCACATTTAAAATCACTGGACTCTTACTTTCAAAATTACCCATATGACTTTCTCAGGTTTTGTTTTGTTTTTTAGGAAAGCAGATTTTCTCGACGTTGGACTGAAATCCGTGCGAAACTCGAAAATTTGTGTCTATGTTTGGAAGCTTTTATCATCGTACTTTAATCTGGCGGAAAAACGAATAGCATATTCGGAATTAACGCAAAAGACTGAGTCAAATTATATATATTTTGGAAACATTCTTTTTCCATGAAAAATCGATCCTATGGTCCGCCTCAGAGGTGTTTTTCCAAAACTTTGTCCGTGGTCCCCCAGGGATCAATCTTTTACAGAAAAAAAAATTTTCAGAAATATATGTTATTCGACGTAGTTTTTCACGCTGATTGTGAAAATGCTATTTATTTCTGTATCAGAGTAAGCTATGATAATAAAAGCCACCAAATATGGACACAGTTTTTTCAGTTTTATATGCTTTTGCGATTAGCGTCTACTAGAATCGAATTTTCTCAAAAATAAAAAGCAATCTAAAAAGGCTGCATAGGTAATTTTGAAAGTAAGAGTCCAGTAATTTTAAATGTGACATAAAATTTAGTTCCACAGTTTCTCATGAGAGAAAGACAACCTTACAGATATATCGATAAATATATACTTGGAGATATACTCTATTTGATGGAATAATTTTTTACTTGATTAACTTTGCATTCAATGAAACAACATTTTGATATTCAGTTTTTTATGCTGATTAAGAATGTGAAGTCATATTTCTAATTCCGATGAACATAAAATATGTATTCTCATGATCGAGGGTCCGAATTGATAGAAATGGCTTTGATCCCCAACATTTGTGCCATGGACAAATTTTTTTCGCTTGTTTTTTGTCTTTTGAAGTAGTACCTTATACGATGTAGAATTTCAAGGACTTTCAGAAATATGTAGATCATTTTGGGATGGCATGATCCAGCGTGGCTAGAATCAAAATACTGAATAATCTTGATTTTAGCTAAGAGTCATTTTTGTTCGTCTATTGAAATTATCATTTGACGAATGGTATTGTAGAATATAATGAATTACCAAATTTTGTAGAAAAAATATTTCTGCATCTTTTAAGACGCTTCCGAGCTCGAACGAATGAGCGGATGCAGAGAAAAGTGCAAAATATTGAGATCACCCTAAAAAATTGATTGTTTTTTTGACCAAATCTCGAAGGGGTATCACTTGTTTACTTTGGCATTTTTCACAGGCAAGTCAGAAAGAGCTAATATTTTGGATTTGTCTATAGTTTGATTAGATCTTTCATTTGAGATACTTAAATCGAAAATCAAAATTTTATCGGCGATAGGCTTCTAATAAGGTTGCTAAGTAGTCTCGCGAACCTTCTCTTAATAAGGCTCTGTTCGTGATTCCATAACCCTTTATTCCAATTTGTTAAATCACTTTGTAGTTTTCAATTTGTTTTTCAGGAAATTGTTCATATCACTTCTACCGGTCTGACCTTCCTCGCGACTGATCGGTCGCAAATCATTCTTTCAGTCAGAACAACAACTTTGTTGAGAGTCTTTCGATCGACAGGATACCTATAAAGATCTGATTTTTTTATCATACTGAGCATTTAGTGAGATAATTTCATCGTCAAACTTTCAGCCTTCTAACTTTATCTGCTCTTAAGCCCCTCCCCCCCCCCCTCCCAAAATGTCAATTTTGGTCAAATTTGTCGATTTTGTGATTTATAGCTCGTTAGATAGAGTTAAATGTCTACTTTCGAATGCACTATAGTTTATTGATTTTATGGTGAGATTTAAGGATATTGCACAGACTTTTCTGAACCTCCCATAGGAGAAAATAAAGTTTTTTCTAACAAGTTTTGGTTTTTTTCTCAAAATAGGATTTTTGATTTTTGCGTTTCCGTGCGTCCCAGATTTCTTCGCCATTTTAAACGGTAGAAAGCTGAGCTTGGTGTCAAAATGAAAGCAAAAATTAGCTCTACAATTTAATACAGTCGGATTTTTCGATTTCCTTATTAATGTTTATAATAAACTAACTTTTCTGAACCTACCCACATTGGCTTTTTCATATTTCATCAGAGAAATTTGCTAAAAACACAAGCTAGGAAAGAATCGAAAAATTGGGCCCTGTTAAGTTGTAGCGTCACGTCTTGGCTACATTTTAGAATCAGTCCGAATTTTCTAGCATTCGAAATGGCGAAGAAATTTTGAACGCATGGACACCTAAATTTTGACCCATAACCTTATGGTAACTCTTCGTAGACTCAATGTATCGAGCTGAAATTTTTACTGTGAGCTGTCTAGCTCGAGATACACCTCTACTGAAAATTTCATCATGATTGGATTCTCGAAAAAAAAAATTATTTTAGAGGTTGGCCCCTTCAGACATCTATGTCAACAAAATACCAAACAATGGCAATTTTTCTATATACTTCTCTGTATTGACCAACTCTTTAACAGTTCAGTTATTTCAATGCATATTCTCATGAGAAGTACTTGAATATGGGTGCATTCGGAGTAAAGATTTCAAGACCTACAGATGTATTCTTGATGTGATATGGCTATCACAAAAACTGCAAAAAAAGTACAAAAAAACGTGTTTTTTGGTGACGAATGCGCATACAAAGAAAAAATTAAAATATCTTCAGAATGGAATAGTATTATTTTTTGAATGGTTTTCGTAGAAATTCATCAAACACTTTCCTCTGTAAACATATATATATATATATAAGCATTAGCCATACGAATGATCACCGATTGAGCAATTTTTCTAGAAGTGAATTGTAATTTTACCGAAAATGGCTTATATATATATATATATATGCTAGAAAAGATTTTGTTCGGGTCAAACGCAAAAAACCATTGTTTTAAGAATTGTTCTTAATAGCTGAAGATCAGTGATACCTAGCTGCTAAGTAAGAGCTCGTAGATCTCTCATAAGAGATAGAAATCCAGCTCTTATGGTAGATAGTATATATAGAACCTATGAGATCCCACTACGTTACTTAACATACCGAAAAGTGATTCTCAGTGTGCAAATACATAGAATATCTATGGTAGTAGATACAAGATTTTACGACCAAAAAAAAAATTATCGTTGATTAAATGTGAAATATACAATACATAGGTACTGCAGTGGTCATCCTCATTTTTCACCTTAGACTGCCTCTGTTGTAGAATGAATATCTCAATAAAGGAATGATTTTAGAAACTAAAATTTTTAACGTTTTCACATCTCACTTAGAGCTACAATTCATCTGACATTCATAGTGAATTTCTCCAATTAAAAATTGAATGTTTTTTTTTTTAAGTATTTCAAAAATTGTACAAGTTTACCTGTTATAATGATTGATTTTTCTTTTTCTCGAAACAAAAAGTTAATCATTTTTCACTATAGATTTTTATATCAGTAGGCTTTCTTTTAGTGGAAAGATACATTACAAGAGAAAATCAAATCAGGTGGAACCATCATGCATATATATTATTTTGCAAACGTCTGTAGACAACAAATGTTTTTTATTGTCGTAATCGGAAAAAGAAGATCATTGATTCACTGACGACTACCGACAACTACAGATAGTTTATTCGATCTTCTAACATGACAAGTAAAATATGGACTCGAAGACTCGCATTGGTTTGAAGGAGCGGATATGAGATAAATAAATGAATAGATGTCTTTTTTTTTCTGTATCTCTATAATATGAAGATTGCTAAGTGTTAAAAACTTCATCATATACTTCTTTATTTTTATATTATTTTATAATTCAGATGCCGATACCAACTCATGCCAGTCAAGTATTTGCTTTTCTTCGTCGGAAATATCGAGTTTCACGAAATACTCGAGCTCTTTGGCAGTTTCAACAAATAGCTGCTTCTTCATCAAATCCAGTGCGCATTCCAACATCACAAGAAATTGTTAGTTATTTAAATAATCATTCTCAAATATGAAACGTTTAATTTTTAGACACAATCATCGGATGAAATTGTCCTTGTCTCGGCCTTAGACGATAATGGTACACCAATACTACCATCATCAAACATTATCTGCACTAGTTCAACACGTTTTTCTTATTTTACAACACGTTATAAATTTGCGTTCATTCTTGATATGACTGATTCATGTGCGTCAGTATCTATTGATGGTGGTCATATCTATTTAGAATCATTAACAAATTGTCTATGTATACTTTTATGTTCTCTTGCTCAAACGTTTACATTACCGGGTTGTGATTTAAAATTTCAACCCGAAATAGATATATCTGTTTATGTCTATTTTCCATTACATCGTACACCAAGTCATCAAGTATTGATTCATGGTAAAAAAAAAAATCTAGAAGATAATATTTGTTTTTAATTTTTCTATTAAATAAAGGGTATCGATTAACTTGGTCAACATTAAAAACTATTTGTCATGATATAATAAACAATTTAAGAGAAGCTACCGAACTTCTACATAATGTCATAAGTATTGGTCAAACATTTTATCCACATTCAACATCGTCGACAATGGATTCAGATGATAATATTAATTCACATGTAAAATTTGAATGATTTACTAAAAAAATATTAAATATTTAAATCTTTTCTTCTCTAGCTAAATACAATTTATTCAAATAGTGAATCATCATGTGCTATTATAAATATGCTTAGTTATGGTATAACAGCATTACAATTAATGCCTGAAGAATCAACATCAGCATTAGTTATCATAACCGATGGTATACTTGATGTACCAAATTTATCAGCATTTGAAGTCGTTATGAGACAAATACGAGCACGTATAATAAGTTGTTCATTTGTTCAAATTGGTTCAAATAATAATCGACAACAATCAATAAATAATAAAGTTTTAAATGCACCCATAGCTAGTCTAGGACATGTACCAAATGAAGAATTATTAAAATTTATTAGTTTATCAACATTTGGTTCATTTATCTATTTCGATGTTGATAATATTAGTGGTGATGAATCAACATTATTAACACGTTTATTTTCTCATGAATATGAATTATTAAATGTTTGTAAAAGAGTAAATGAATTTCAAAGTGAACTTTTATCATGGGGTAAAATTGAAATAGTTTATTTTTTTTTATTTAAATAAATGAACTTCTTGTTTTGTTTTATTTTTTACTTAGGCTTTCATAAAGCTGTTGGTGAATATAATATATCATTATCACAACGAATATCGAATGGATCATTGAGTATTGATGATGAAAATAATCGAACTAAGTAAGAACATCAATATTAAATGATTAAGTTAAATTTTATTTTCTTTTTTAGTAAATTAAATGCAACTTGTTTACCAATGTCATGTAAATTAGTTAATCAAACTGTTCTTCAAACATCATTAGAAAATGTTCTTTCTTTACGTTTACGTGAAGGTTATACAATTAGACGTGTTCAAATTCAAAAAGGTTTTTTTCTTTAGATCTTTTCTTTTTTTTGTAAATTTGATTTTTTTTTAAATTTATTACTTTAGATGAAATTGAAGTTCATCTTGTTTTACCGTGGCGCTATGAGATTCAAATTTATTATACAGCTCGTTCTGTTTGGTCACTTGAAAAGAGTATAAGAACGGATATACGAGTTTATAAAGAAGCACCAATGTATTTTCTTCAAGAATTAAGTCAATTATCTTATAGTCAAACATCAAAAGCTGCTAATATGGTGCGTAATAATCTTATTCGACGATATAATGATGTTATACAAACGTAGGATTTCTTCTTTTTTTTTTTATAAAATTTTTCTATATGATATTTGAAATTTTTATTTAGTGTCTCAGTAGCTGATCGACATTTAACATTAATTAATACTTTTTCTCGAAATCCATCCTATTATCACGTACCTGACACGATTAAACGTGGAAAACCTATTTTTTATTTGACACAAAATGATTTACAACAAACATTATTAAATGTTAAGTAAGTTTGAATATGAAATTATTCATCATAAATTTGATGAATTTTCAGTTCAAAAAGTTAGAACTTTAAATAATAAATCGATCTATTAAAATTCATCAAGTCTTTCAACACGAATATTTTTAATTTTGATGATGAAAGATCAAAGAATACTATAAACTGAATTTAAGATCGATTAGGCTTCTGAATATATAGATAAATTCGAATTTATATTCTACATTAAATAGTTATTATGCAATTTCTACTTAAATGAATACAAAATAAAACATAGAGAAATAATTTCCATTCATATCGAGAAAACAAGTATGCGTTTGTAATCTTATTAGAAGTTCGAACTGGTTAAATGATAAATATTCTTGGTCTTGTTTTCAATCTATATATATATATGCGAAAAATTCTTTTTTTTTCTCTAGAGATACAGATCTTCAAGCGTTTGCTGATTTTTGGCGTCCAATCGTTATACTTGACGGATCACTATGGTATGAAAAATACGTCTTATTTTTCTTATTTGTTTTTTTTTTTAATATTTTCTATTTCTTCTATAGGCAACGTTTTATGTATACACATAATTTAACAATAATCTTAGTAAATGATCCACTTTCAAATTCATTATTTCTTATGAATAATCATTTATCACAATC